ATAGATAAATAGATATTTATAACATTACTCTTACGTAAACAAAAGGTAAAATTTACCTGAATATTTACAAAATCAATACGACCATAGACCGTATCGGTCATATTTATAGGATATTGACCTGCCGTAATCGTTAAACTCTTACCACTAGATAATTTTGCTGATATGCCAGTTAGGAAACTTGAAAAAACAGAATCAAATCCGGATGGACCGCATGGAAGTTTATAAGGATAATCAATATCAATCTATAAGTTAATCAAATGTATATAATTAATTATTTATTTCATAAATGTGTGCCGCCAAAGGAAAATCAGGAATCCTTGATTTTTGGATATTTCACTTCACAAGACAAGGGCTTACCGTACTCTGAGAATCTAATGATATCGATTCAACAGGAAGAACCGTTAATGTTGCACAACTAATCCAACAGGCAGGTGAAGGATTATATATATGACAGTAGAGTGATTCAATATTGTAAAATAATTTTTTTATGAACTGCACACCAGATGAGGGATTAGTTGTGCAACATTGACGGTTCCTCCTGTCTATCAAGAATTGATCTTAATATGAGTGCCGCCAAGGAAAAAGGGCACCTCAGCAATTTAAGTATATTACTTAATTATCGAGTTCAGCAATGATGCAGGTGAGCTTTAAATTATACGTGATTCATATTAAATTTATACATCAATAGACATTTTATACTAACATTATTGAAAGCCCATCTGCATCATTGCTGAACTCGATAATTAAGTAATATATTTATATTGCCGAGGTGCCCTTTCCCTTGGCGACACTCATATGACAAAATGATGTAAACATTATATTATTCCTCAGAGTTAATAATCCATATTCCATTAGTGTTAAATCCGAAATTCAAGAATTACGTTTAGCGGCACCCAAATATTCACATAGACAAAATAAAATAAATTAGCTAATCTTACTCCGTCAAAACCAAAAGTAGCAACAATACTAACTAAGTCACTAATAAATTTCGAATTTTGAGCGATATTCGAATAATACACCAAATTATTACTTATATTTACAAGATTAAAGAAACTATTTAAATTATTCACATTAGTTGGTAGCAAGACTGATAGAATTATCTATAACATAGCAATATGTCATTATTATTAATGTTAAATAAACCTATTTAATGTAGATTCAGTAGATTTAATAGTTTATTACCTACCTTAAATTGTAGATTATTTGTTTTCTTATAATTTAACAGATCATTAAATTTGGAAGATTGATTGTTATAAAATACCAAAGGGTCACCACCATTATTATTATTTTGGCCATTATTAACAAGGTCATTTTGGCCAAATGCTATATAAATATTAATTAACTTATTAAAATTTATTGTAATTAAACAGACTAAACGTTGAGCTTTAATTTCGCATACGTACCAATAAAGTTTAAGTAATCAATTGATGGACTGATATTAAAATCTGCCCCCGATTTTAAATTAAGTTTATAAGCGGGATAATGTCCAATAAGTTTATTTGGTTTAGTTGGTGATAGGTGGCATGAGTCCTGACTCATTACCTTCTTTTTCAATATGAATATGAAAAAGACATATAAAAAAAGCACGGCGAACTTATAAAATGGTAAAATAAAACAAACTTTCATGTTTATTATAGTGGCGTAAAAGTTTATAAGTATAGAGTTAACAAAAAATAAAACATGAATATATGTGATAATGTACACAAAAAATTTAGTATTAATATTTAGTTAAAAAAAAAAGTACAAATGATCATAAGATTGTCCTATATAAATGTTTATTTCTTGCTTTTTTGATGTTTTCGAACGAAATTTCCTTATGCAATATTGATAGGAGATTTATATTTAGTACGACCTTTGTTCTGAAATTAGAGAGATGCTGGTGAAATTAATTTCACCAATTCAACACCAATTTTATCAAAGTGGTGAAATTATTTCACTAACATCTTCAGTTACAATATCATAATTGGGGTTTTATTTATTTTGCGCCGGTAATACAAACTCAGAAAGGAAGCTTGGTATAAGATATAAATTTAAAGTTAGAGGTTAGCATTAGCGATGTTACCCAAACTATATGACGAATAATATCACACGATTTCAGCAATAACAGTAAGGTGGTAAATACTAGAGATGCAGGCGAATCGTCCCAATGATTGCCGTAACTAGTTACGACATAAGCTTTAGATAGTTACGGCTTATGTCGTAACATCATTGGGACGATTCATACGATATTATTCATCACATCACCAGTTAGCATTACGGGATAAGAATGAATTCTTTTACTTAATGGTTGAATCCGTCTATAATTCAGATAAAACAGAGTTTATCCGTATCTGTTTATCCAAAGGCACCAGTGTTACTAACAATCAAAGGCATAGTATTACCAGTCTAAAAAAATTTCGCTACCAGCGTTAGTATTTGGGTAATTTTGTTTTTTTTTATGCTATACCTGATCTTGAATTTTAATTTGACCTGATAGCAAATTTTTTAAGTTGGTGACACTAGGAAGGTTCCGGAAAGCGTTCAAAAAAAGGATATATACAGTAATTCAAGACAAATATAATAAAACAAATACTTGTACCTTTGACTGCCATATCAATAATTACTAACTTTACACGAACTGTAAAACATAAACCTTGAACTAAATTGATTTCGAAAGTATCAAAATTAGTGATATTAATTTTCAATTGAAATATTTTGCTTTTTTTTTTTGTGAACTTTTTAATATCTATACAGTTACAATTAAAACAAATTTATTATAACCTTTTTAAATATAAATTTAAAGTTTAAAAAAGCATTTTAATATCTATTTTTGTCCTATAATTTCGGAGTATATTGCATGTGTTGATGAACTTTGAAGTGCATATGCGATCTGGGTACTTTTATTCATGAATGATCATTTTTAATCGTTTTATTAGCTTTTAAATTGCTTGTTAATACTGCCTTTTTAATAGTGCAGTGTTAATATAAAAACTTAGTGGTCTGCTAATATATATTACTTGTGGATTTGTTTTTTTGATAGGTGAATTCGTTATATTTCTAGGAAATGTTCTTTTCTAAATAAAGTTATAAATGGTACTATTAATGTCTTCAGAAGTTAGCTTGTTTAATGAACATTTCAATAAATTAATATAAGGCTGTGATAAGTTGCTAATGATTTCCGGATGAAGACTATCAAATATATCTAAAATAGGAAATTCATGAAAGGGCTTTTGGCCAGTTATCATTTCCCCATACCGTAAATTCTCGAAATAGCGTTATTTCGAATTTTGACCCGAGTTAAACTTAATTCTGGCCAAAATTCGGAGCAATATATGGAATTAATTCGTATATCTCTTTTGTATCTGTTATCAAATTTGTTGGTTTATTTTGAAATAAAATATCCCAATTTTTTTTATGTACACTAATATAGCGAAAACACATTATTATCCGGGAGTTACATTTTAATAACAACCCGAAATTTAAAATTTACATTGGTGTTTTTATACAATTAAAAAAAAACTATATATTTTAACAGCTAAAAATATCTTATCATTAGTAAAATTAAATTTTGAAGTTAACAAATAAGTGGCGCATTTGAAATTAAATGAGATTGAAAAATCTTAATTGTATTCCAAAATTTTAAAATCGGAAAATGAAATGGAGTACATATAGACTTATGGTAAGGTTATAACGTCAATTGGAAAATGACATTATGTCACGTCTAAACATTTGACTTTAGTACAACATATGACTTATGCATTCGTAAAATTTTTGCTTATCCCGTAATGTTTGATTTACTGTTAGTCGTAACATTTGACATGTGCGAAAATCTATATCAATGCTTCGCGCTACAAACAACAAATGATCTTTATACCTGCCACTATATTAATGAGAATAATATAAAGATAAAGTTACAAACTTGAATACTTATTATAAATGCGTTAATTCAATAATTGTATTCTCACAAATGAAATAGCATTTATATGGTACGTACGTACATAAATTTTCTGAATTTAAATTAAAAGAATCTGTTTCTGTTAATTCACTGAATCTATGTAAAGATGATGTTTAAATTTATGCGTCATGTTAAAATATTATGAATAAATACACTGATTGAACAATCTAGGGTAAAATAAGAAAACCAGATCCAGAAATTATGTGTGCTAATCAAGACAAGTTTTTTATACATGTAAAGAAATTTTTTTGTATGGAGTGTTCATACTTTTCATAGAGAAAATTAATCAATTATAAAGTAATAACATTTGTAACAGATTTCATTTATATAATTTAGTTGAATTTCAAATATTTCACTAGATACCTTCTAAATATATCAAAAAGTATTAGGAAAATCAAGATAAAAAAGAATATATGTTTAATTATAAATGCTTAGGTAATATTGTAACATTATATATAATAAAAATTTATATTGTGATACTACAACTTTCTAAAAAATTTTTAACAGTCTGCAAGTATTTCTTTATACGTATCTACTGTTTATAAAATTAATTTTATTAAAAACAATTAAAATTCAAATATGCTAAAGTATCAGGAAATATTTATTATACCTAGAAGTCTAATTCATTATTTAAAATAGTATTAATGAGATTTTTAGAGTTAAACTCCAGATTAATACTGTTTTTAATATTATAATTTAGATTATTATTAGAAATTTTATATAATATATATTTTTTTTGAAAGATTAAATCTTTTAAATTTATAATATCTTTTAAAATTAGGTTAATAAACTTTGTTTGCTATCAATATATTACTACTTCAATTGATTTTTATTTTTATTTTATTTTTATAAAACTATTTATTAATATAAATTTTATTATATTATGCAGTTCAAATTTAAGTAAATTCTTTTTATACGTATATATTCATCTTTTTCTATAATTATATCATTTGTTTTATACAAAAAAAATATAATTATAAATTTTAATAGTAATATAATTTATAAAGTTTTTTCAATAAATGTAGTGTCAACAATTTTTAAAAATGCTTATAAAAAGAATGTAATTGCATAAATAACTATAAAAGAGAATGACTATATTGTTATATAATATAACCTTATTTTGGCAATTTTTTTAAGTTTTTTTTAAATAGTAAAATCGGTTTTCAAGATAAAGTTCTTTCTTTATGACATTTTTCTCTAGCTATCCGATTAATACTTATCTTTTGTTAGAAATAAAGTGTCCGCCGTTTCGCTCTGAACAGTAATTTTAGGAATCCATGATTTTTAAGGATTTTCATTATTACCACTTAAATTTGTAAAAATTCTGAAAAAATAAGCTACAGCTACATACACATATAAAATGTAATATATACATGAATAGAGATGTTGATGAAATAATTTCACATTCAACATCAGTAATAATGAAATTCTTTACCACTAATGTAATTTCACTAACAACTTTACATGTAATCATCGTAGCAGAAAGAAAATTTATTGAATTGTATTGCAAATGCAATACATAGTGAATCTATGGTTTTGAAGAAAAAAATTTCGCTATATAAGATTACTCTTTCTTAAGGGTATACATTTTCTATACCGAATATAACGAACTAGTACAAAGTTTAAAATTTTACAGTTCGTTATATCTAGAGTTCGGTATTAATGTGATTAATTATAGAGAGGTTGGTCTCATACGTAGCAAATCCCGTGCTGGACACTTATTTAATAGTATAAATCTTCTTAAAACATATCATTTTAATAATTAGGAGACTTTATGATTTGTGTCTGAGAAAATCCGATTATTTGTATCCGGACGAATCTGACGATTTATATAAGAGTAATCCTGAGGATTTGTATCCAAACAAGGCTGATTATTTGTATCTATAAGTGGATTAGACATTTTTGCTTCGTGCCTTCTTCGATACAATATGATACCAAGAGCTACTAATACGCTAACAAAAATCAAGGAACCTATTACACCACCCACTATCGCACCTACATTGGACGAAGATGATGTGGGTAAAGATGATGTGGATGAAGGTGGATGGGTACCCGAAGTTTCATTTCCTAGTGGATTATTTCCCGAAATAAAGTTTATCAATTGTGAATCTTTTGTGATATCAGCGATCGCGATTCCTGCTAAATTATTATTTTTTATATAATCGAGTTTAGCATTTAATGATTGATAATCTTCATAAAAAGCAATATAGTAGTATTGTGAAGACAAATCTTGTCGGTAGAGATATGGTTGTTTCGCATCGTTAATAAAACCATAATTCCATTGTGAATTTTTATTGATACTTGTGTAACAAGGTGGTAATAAATTAGTATTCAAATTTTGCCACGACAAATATGCATATGATGAATGTCCACATTGATCTGAAATCTTTTCATCACTAAAAGAGAACTGAAAATTTGTGTCATTTACTGGTTGAAGTTTTTTACCCTCAATGTTCGACTTAATACTGCTATCATTATCAGAAACAATTTCGACAATTCCTCCAAATTCAACGCCTAAAACGAGTTTGGAATGATCTATAAAATTC